CAATTATTGCTTTATTAAGAACCTAAAACCGGATGATCTGCAGATTCGAACAAGTCTACACCTCAAAAAATAATCTATCTAATCTTACTTTCTCAAGCCACAAATGAATGAAGGTATTCGTATAATTTTTCTATTTTTTTCAACTTACAAAATTCTTACACATTTAAGTTATTAGTTTAAAAAATAAACACAATATGATAGAGTTTTTAATCTCGTTTAAACTCTTTTTACATTTCCTAAAATCTCGACCCAAGAATTGCAAAAAAATGACGTTTGAAAAACATAATACTATTAATTGTTCACAACATGAAATGAATTCACTTCATTATACGAATTCCTCTCACAATAATGAAGGCTGTAACAATGAAACACAAAATTGCGACGAAGTCAAGCAACAAATTAATACGAATAAACCTAAATTTCTTCCGGAGAATGTTAATTGGGATGGAAATGTTGAGGTAGCAGATATCGATTGGAGCGTGTCGTTTATGAAGCCGTCAACCGGGCTTCCTACTTATCCTATCAATATGATTGACTTCTCGGATGGCAAAATACGTGAAAGAGATATTCAATGGCCAGATAACAATGATAATCTTGATAACAATTTTCAACAAAAAAATGTCATTGAACCTTCAATATCTATGGAATCTTCTGTTGAACCTTCAATATCTGTGGAATCTTCTGTTGAACCTTCAATATCTGTGGAATCTTCCGTTGAACCTTCAATATCTGTTGAATCTTTTGTTGAATCTTCGATATCAGTTGAATCTTTCGTTGAATCTTCAAAATCTGTTGAATCTTTCGTTGAATCTTCAAAATCTGTTGAATCTTTCGTTGAATCTTCAATATCTGTTGAATCTTTCGTTGAATCTTCAATATCTGTTGAATCTTCCGTTGAACCTTCAATACCTGACCTTGACACTACATCAAGTGCAATAATTGATCTGGCCCATGAAATTAAATCTATTGCCATCAACGATGACGATATAGAATTCAGTGAAATTTGCACGCAAGAAGTAACCCATAATTCGATCAATGATGTGTATGATTTATATGGTGATTCTGAACATTCAGAATTATTCGGAGACTCTGAACATTCAGAATTATATGGAGAAGATATCCATCATGTTAATGAAACAGATAGTTGGTCAGAAAGTTCACATACGCTACAAACCAAAGATGTTCCTGATCAAAATAATTCCGAATCCAATGCCGTTCAGTATAGTTCTAAATCGAATTACACTATGACTTATTATATCCGACGCCGACGTCGTCCACGCAGTTATCTAGAGCAACGTAAAGATCCAAGATATAATCCTGATGCAAATCATTGGAAGAGTGATGCGGATTATTTATCATTTGATGGCCAAGAACGGATTGATCCTGAAAAACGAGAAAACGAAAAGTACGATGCTGTTATCCAAGCTGCATTGGACGCATGGGGAGCACATAAGGATGTAACTATGGACGTTTTTAAAACGAAGCCGACTAAGGATATGAAAAAGTCAAATGCCATAATATTTGAAGAGGACGATAGAGGTGATATAGTACCACCGATTGTATTATATAATCAGGACTTACCACCGAAAGAAACGCCTAGATCAAAGTCCCCAATAATATCTCCTCAAACGTGCCCAGTTGATTCTTCATCATCTCAGTCCGTTGTTTTACATCAATGTTCTCAGTCAAAAGCGACATCATTGCCATTCGTGTTTCATGGACAATCTTATGTATCTCCTCTCCTCCAAGCCTTATATGAAGGCAATATAGCTCAAGCCAATTCCGTTGCAAAATATCTCGATGGGTTTAAGATTGATTTATCACCAATTCTTTCTATTGAACTACCTGCCGATATTGAAATCGAAGTTAGGCAGAATAGCAAGTGGCCGGCTTATTATGCAGATGTAAATAAAACTGAACGTCGCTATTCATGTGAAGAAACGATAAAGAAAGCTCTCCACCATATTATGCACTCAAGAGTGGCAATTATTAATGCAGCCCCTGGTAATAAATAATTTAATAAATTTGAAAATTTTAATTGTTTAAATATCAAATATATATGTATATTATTTTATTTATTTACCCTATTTATTTATTGGCGGAACATATTATATACATTTCATTTAGTTACATCTGAAGTTTTATTGATTACGAAGGCTGTACAACTTCTTTCCGAACCTCTGAGCCAAAGAACCATTATTGCCCCGATAATTGTCATAACAAAGTGTTCTTTGACACTTGACAAGATATTGGTAGAACTTCTTTCCATTTTCCCAAATTTAATTCGTGTTGGTTCAACTAAGCAATGTAGAAATCGTTTGCTTGCTGGAAGACAGGTAGATAATCTTCAAAACGAAATCAATACATTGTATAATCGGCAAATAGATCATCTAAAAGATACGAGAATCGATTTATTGAAAAGAATAAAAGAACGTTTTACTTTCATGTCAGATTATTACTTTCATCAATCAGCTCATAATCATTTCAAAAAGCAATTATCGCCACATAAGAGCAGAAAAACTAATCATACATCAAGAGATGTTGAGCTGAAGGATTTAATGAATTGGCTATTGAGTGACAATAATACAAATGAATCTCTTACTCATAGGCCTTTTAAATTTTCTTCAAATAAAAAACCTTTACATGAAATTTTATCTTCAAACCTGGAGAATCTTTTTGCTGACTCTTCAACTGATCTTTATTCAAAAATAATGTTTTCATCAATCGAAGAGTTGGAAAAGAATTTGTCATTTGATGATGATGATTCTAATGATCTCGATAATATTTACTCTCCAAACATTGAAGAATCACGATTTATTAACAATTTAATTAATCGCCTGCCTCAAGATCAGAAGTTTCTGTTTGATGAACAAAACCAATCTGAGAGATTTCCAAATGATTTGAACAATGACATTGATCAATTTTGGCATTACGTTACTAAAGATATTTGGGATATTCAGAAAATTCGGAAAATATCAATAGATGAACGTAAATTATATCGGCATATGTTTAATCGAATCGTATCCAACTATTACGATCCGATTATAACAAACATTTACACCAATGCCATCGAATTAAACAATAATATGGATGAGAAACGATTACAGAAATTATCCGAAGTTATGAAAGGTGCCCCGGTTATAGGTTTTTCTTGGAAGAACGCTAAGTGCCTTAAAAAATTATTTCATGATTCTTCACCAGCGTCAACTCCTGTTTTTATAGTGGATGAAGCATCAGAAATACCAGAAGATGAAATTTCTTGCATTATTAATGATCATGAAAACCTTGAACATTTAGTTATGATAGGTGATATGAATAGACGCTGTGGTAATTCTTTATTTGAGCGATGGATTTCAAATGGTGGTAGATTATTTTTTGAGGTGTAGACTTGTTCGAATCTGCAGATCATCCGGTTTTAGGTTCTTAATAAAGCAATAATTG